GATAAATGTGATTGATTGAGAGACTGAAGCGCGAAAAATAGATGTTTAGTACTTCAGATTATTTATTACAAACTAATATTTGTGACCTGCATCCAATTAATCAGAGCCTATTAAACTGGTGAAACACCATGATGGAGGAAGCTGAATCCTATCTCCCTCATCATCATCATCATCATCATTCATAGAAATAAAAGCATTTGATAGATGCTGAATAGATCATAACAATAAATCCCCAAAACACCTTCAGTTTAAAGTTTTGATTCTGACTCTGATTTTTTTGTTTTCAAGAAGATGAGAAAGGTTTTAGTAGCGTATTGACTTTGTTGCAGTGTTGCATTAATTCAGTCACGGATAATAACTCATTCTCACAGTTGGATGAAGAATATACTTCGATTATGAGACACGTTTTGGTCGAGATTCATTTTTATGAAGTGAAACAAATAGACGCTTTTGAGGAATAAATGATTTTTGGAAGATACAAGCGATTGATTTAGGTTTGATGTTAGATTGTTATTCATTAGACGCATCGTGATGACCCCTCACTGATGAGGAATGGAAATGCATATCTGCTTAATATTTAGGTTATTCGATCAGACTTAATCGAAATCCTGCAACTCTTTTCTGTCTCTAATCTTATACTTGATGTGAAAAAGTTCGAGCCTCATAAACCAGGACAGGTATGTATGTTCACATAGAGTTGCACCGCATCTCTCCCATTGTGGCGACAACAACAACAACTAAAAGTTCCATCAAGTCCTCACTTGTTGGAAAATGTGGAAATTAAAAACAAAAAAAGCAATTAGGTAACTTTGTTCACACATGAAGAAGATATTTGAGGTGGGAGAGGCTGTTTCACAACATCTAGAACTGCACAGTATAGATGGAAACAAAGTCTCTCGGATCTTTTTGGAACAGTAGTTTTTTCTCCTCTGGTCACATATTTCAGACTGAGGCCGCTGTAGGAATGAGACATGTGGATATTTGACATGGTAGCGCGAGCAGACCGGTTTATGTAAAACACCTGAACATGATTCTGAATTTTCGAAAAGTTTATTCTTGAGAGTGCTTCATTTGAGCTAAAGTCAGTGAATAAAGTGGGTGAACTATGACCTCCAGTCACAGTTAACACAACTTAGAAGACGCTTTACTCAACATTTACAATGTCATGATGTGCAGGTAGTTAACACGTTTCTTCCATCATCTTGACTCAATAAGGACCTTCTCTCCATGAAATCAATTATGAGTAAAGCAAACACTTTCCCATGAAAGAAAGCTGTGAAATAAACAGGTACGAGGTCAGCCAGTACAGTAAAACAGCTGTTTGCTGAATCAATTCCACCAAAGGTAAATAGAAAAAGGAATCTGTAAACAAAAGAGACAAATAACAAAATAAAACCCCATAATAGATTCATCATTTAGAATATTTAAAATAATTATCATTATCCTGATATAAATAATATCTCGCATCTCCAAGAGTTTAATTACATAGAAACTCGATTACATGTTCTTGTAATACAAATGTAAGTGTTTTTAAGAAGTTGAGCCATTTTTAAAGTGTAATACAACTTTTTGAAGAGATATCAAATATTTTTTTCGAGAGAGAAATGACAAAGTAAAAATGTGCTGCAGGTAAAACAAGAAACTCCCGTGTGAGAATATATTATTCACAGAATGTCCATCACGCATTAAATTAAGATGATGGAGCCCCAATGAGATTGCGTGCTTTAAGATCTGCATTGCGTAAACGCTCCAGTGCTGTGCATGTTTGCACTAAAGTCCAATCCATCAAACGTTCTGCAGGATTTAGACAAAAACATTTTTTTAAGTAAAAGTACAATTTAATTTAATTACGTATGTATTTGTTAAGTAAGAACTGGGCCTTTACCTGCTAATAATAATCAGATTTGTAACAAACGTTAGGGTAAAATTTGCTACAAATCTGATTATTATTATGTAAAGGCCCATAACATAATATGTACATTAGAATAAATCTGCTGCCAGTCACAGAAACAGTATGAGATGAGGGAATACATCGGCCCGTTTGTCTCCTGCAGAGAGCTACAGTCGAAGTCCATCGTTACACAATTTGTCTGACAAGTGATGCGTTGCCTTCACAGGCAGTTTGAACAATTCAATTCGACATGGACGAGTATGAGCTTGTGAGCTGCACAGGCATGTGACAGCCATGCAGAGTCTGGATATCATTATTAGCAAACCATGGCAATGCGCTTTCAATTCTAACGCATAATAACAATAATAATATAATAGCCTATAAAATAATCATAATAATCATCGCTGTGCAATGATTGGTCCGAGCGTAATAATCACATCATTTGTCAGACTTTTGTACAATGATTTCAATTACCTGCATTTATTTATGTCAACCATATTTCCCAGGTGTGATGTCAAAAGTAAACACGAAAAGCCGGTGATGTGGCTGCAGCGTCCTCAGGTGGACTCTCATCTATTATATCACAGACACAAAAGGAGGAAGCTCAGGTGTCCGTTCAGTCAAAAAAAACCCCGCTGAAGATGGAGCAGTTTGCAGAGACCTTTGATCCTTCACCACTGACCTTTTGTTATTTCAGCCACCAGAGGAACTTCAGTGGAAACAAGTCGAGCACGTTTCCCCACGGTAAACATTACCCTTGACGCATTAGTGGCCTGGGAGCTGTGCAGGGTGGGCAGGTGGGTGCATAAACGGTGGTAAATATGAAAAACTAAAAATAACTCAACTCAGAAACTCAGTTGATTGTTGTTAGGTCAAAATAACGCGTGATGTAAACAAAACTATTTCCAGAAAACCGTTAAAAAACACGCCTCTAAAAGACCGGTCTGCTGACTTGTATTGTGTTAAAAGTCACGCGCTATAATCTGTGCACGTTCAGAGATCTATGCCATCCTGAAAACGTGGGGAAACGAGATGAAAAAATGTAGGTACGTTAAACCCCGCAGCATCCAGCCCACAGAGCCGAAACAAACACAGGAACACGTTGTGTACACGTCGGGCCCTCACAGCCACTCCGGTGTATAATGTCAGCAGAGGTTTGCAACAATATTCCTAATTGCACGGCTGTCCAGGAGCGCCGTTTGATGTTTACATGCACGTTGATCCCTTAGCTTGCACAGAGATGAAGGTCAGTCATGCACCGTGGCCTTTTTAAAATATGACACGAGGAAAAACCCAAAGCATGTGTCAAAAATTGGGGAGAGAGTGAAGGCGCAAAGTTATGGCGTGTGTTTGTTTCTGGTGTCGGGAAGCAACAAATCTTTCTTATTGCTTGCAAGTCCCCACTTGCAAGCAAGTGCTGTACAGCGACAGCATGTATGCAGAGGCAGTGAAGTTATAAATAATCCATTTAGGAAATATTGGTCTGCAGACTTTTAGCCTGAAAGCTAATTACCTAAATGTTAAGACCTAAAAAGGTAATTTCTTTATCATATAAGAGCCGTTTGCCTCAACGCCTGAAGAGCATAATTGGCAAAAAATACGACATTTGGTGCAAAAACCGTAATGCAGATTAAATGGATTTGCAGTTTGAAAATTAAAAGGTGAAAACTGTTGAGCGCTTATAAGTGTAATGTTCGGTTTGCACATGTCTAAATAAATCACACCATATTTCATTTAAAATTGGCACAGGTGATAAAACTAACGTCTGTCATGTATTTTCAAAATGCACGACCAGTGATTCCTTCCAAAGGTTAAACATTTTGACCGCCTCCTTTTCAGCTAAAGATCATCGCGTGAAGGATTTGTTTTTGGAAAGTGTAGCAGTCGGTGCTTGATGCGTAAAGGAGAGCTACAACATGGGCGACAAATGAGGAAAAAGTGTGATAATCCTCGAACGCACTGAGATACAATTTAAAAACATCAGCCAACTGCATTACTCAAAACCAATCAGTCATTTCCTCCCATTTCCTTAATGATGCCATTCAAACGGTGGTGTAGTGGAGCGTAAAAGCCACCCAGACTCAGGTGTTTCACCTTTTTTTTTAAATTATACAACATCAACTTTTTTGGGGGAGGGGGGGGGGGGGGGTGGAAAGGTTTTCATCAAAACAAACGCAAATAAATGATTAAATGTATTATACGTTGTATTGGATTTTATTAGCAAAAGATTGATCTTTATTATGAAAATATTTGTATTTTTTTCAGCTGATGGTTCCTTGTGATGGTCACCCACTGGAGCATTTACGCATCTTTTTATTTAGCGCGAAATCACTGTTGAAAAGGCGAAGATCTGATCCAAAATCTTGATATTTCTTTACTCACCATCTGTCTCAATAACAAACGCATTCATGGTGGCATATCCCCAGCTTTGCTTTCTGATGGGAGCAGGACG